GAGGGGGCAGAGTTGGGGTGAGGACTTCAGGGAAGGGGTTGGAATGGGGGCAGGGAAGGGGCAGGAAGAGGTGGGACTTCATGGAAGGCGTGGAGTGGGGGCGGGGCCGGGGGCAGCAAGGGGTGGGTGTCAGTGATGCAGCCCTTGGGCCAATGCACTAGTCCTCATGCGGCCCCCATGGTCATTTGAGTTTGAAACCCCTGGTCTAAGGTGACAGTCCTGCAAAAACTCAAGAATGTGTTTAGCTACATGAATGTGTGTAGGACCATTGACTACTACCATAAGTAAAGTTACCTACAAATGTAAGTGTTTGCTTCATGAGAGCCAATGAGTCTCCAACTGCCACTCTAACCAGTCACGGTTAATGCTCCTTTAGTTCTGGTAATGGCTATATTGTTATTTGGTTTTAACTCTTTACAGACAGATTGTTTTAACTATTGCCTATTTCTTACTGCAATAAATTTTGTCTATTACTGTTGTAATGGAAACAATCCCCCTTCAATCCTTTCTTTTCCTGACTATCCAGGAGATCTAGCCTATCTTACTTCCTTGTTGCTATCCAGAGATAAGGGATGAGTGTGCCTCTCTTCTACCCTGCCCATCTCTACTGCATAGGTATAGGCTGTCAGAGTAATAAAAACCAGTCAATGAGATGGGGACATATTAGTGAAAGACTCCAAAGATCCTGGTGACTTCCTAGGGTGGAGGCAGCAATCTATATCATGAGCTCTCTACTGATTTTTCTTGCTCCAGCATGCCCACTGTGGAACAGCGTAGAACGTACTGTATATTTCACTCTGTCATTTATACATACAGTTTATTTCATGATGTGAATAATTTTGGTAAATGTATGATATGTGTTCTCAAACATAGAAAGTGCTCTCTTGGGGCACGATCCATGAGATCCTTCAAGCTGTTAAATTTAAGTAGTTTGAGTACAAAAACTTCCTAAAACCTAATTACAGTGCAACTATTATTTTTTATAGTTGAGTTATTCTCTTAAATCTCATTCCCCAATGGGGAACAGCACAACTTTAGGAGTTGAGAACAATGTGTAATGTAAAAACAGGGAGATGAATGAAAATGAGAAATATGGATGGGGAAACAGTAATTTCTAAATCTTTCTCAAGTTATAAACCAAACATATTTTATTTACATACATGCATTAGGCATATTACTGTTGGAAAACAATGTACGTCCTTTCCAATAAGTTAAAAAATACAAATGAATGTAGTTAGAAAAGCAGCACCAAGTGCCTTTTTAAAAGTAAAACAAAGATATTTGAATAATTTTTCTATCTGGTGCCCATCCTTACAACAATATGGTAAGCCCAAACATTTCTGCTTTCTAGACCCAGAGTCTAGGTTCAATTAATGCAATTTTCTAGTAAAAGGGAAACAAAAGCAAGAAAAAGGAACAGATATTTTAAAAATTACTGATAGCTTCTAGTATGATTAAGCTGCTGATATTTTTTGTATGAAACCTAATGAATTAGTGATGCTAAATGAGTGTAATGAGGCTAAATGAGTATACTGTAAAACATATGCAAGCGTCTTACTTTTGGATATGTGCTACATTTTAAAAGATGAGGTAGGCAGTAATCACCCCAGTATTCATTGCTTGAAAGTACACTTAGATACCGCTATACTCACATACAGCAATATATTTGTATGTTGCAAGCTATGGTAATTCTCTAGGCCTTGCCCAAACTACTTATTCTTTGATTCTAAATATCTAATAATTAACTAGCCGGGGAATGCATGTCCCTTCACTCTGTGTTGTCACATTAGAACATAAGATGGCCATACTGGGGTCAGATCAAAGGTCCATCTAGCCCAGTATCCTGTCTTCCGAAAGTGGCCGATGCCAGGTGCCTCAGAGGGAATGATCAGAACAGTTAATCATCAAGTGATCCATTTCCTGTTGCCCATTTCCAGCTTCTGGCAAACAAGGACTAGGGACACCATCCCTGCCCATCCTGGCTAATAGCCATTGATGGACCTATCCTCTATGAATTTATCTAGTTCTTTTTGAACCCTGTTATAGTCTTGGCCCTATCAACATCCTCTGGCAAAGAGTTCCACAGGTTGACTGTGCGTTGTGAGAAAAAAAATTCTTCCTTTTGTTTGTTATAAACCTGCTGCCTATTAATTTCATTTGGTTCTTGTGTTATGAGAAGGAGTAAATAACATTTCCTTATTTACTTTCTCCACACCAGTCATGATTTAATAGACCTCTATCATATCTCCCCCTAGTCATCTCTTTTCAAAGCTGAAAAGTCCCAGTCTTATTAATCTCTCCTCATACGGAAGCCATTCCTTACCCCTAATCATTTTTGTTGCCCTTTTCTGAATGTTTTCCAATTCCAATATATCTTTTTTTGAGATGGGGCGACCACATCTCCATGCAGTATTCAAGACATGGGCATACCATGGATTTATATAGAGACAATATGATATTTTCTGTCTTATTATCTATCCCTTTCTTAATGATTACCAACATTCTGTTTGCTTTTTTGACTGCTGCTGCACATTCAATGAATGTTTTCAGAGAACTATCCACAATAACTCCAAGATCTCTTTCTTGAGTGGTAACAGCTCATTTAGACCCCATTATTTTATATGTATAGTTGGGATTATGTTTTCTAATGTGCATTACTTTGCATTTAATCAACATTGAATTTCATCTGCCATTTTATTGCCCAGTCACCCAGTTTTGAGAGATCCTTTTCTAGCTTTTCATTTGCTGTGTATTTATACTCTACTGTATTTTCCACTCCATGCATCTGATGAAGGGGTTTTAGCCCACGAAAGCTTATGCCCAAATAAATGTGTTAGTCTCCAAGGTGCCACAAGGACTCCTCATTGTTTTTGCTGATACAGACTAACATGGCTACCACTCTAACCTTTTGTAGCTCTTCATGAGCAGTTACCAATCCATGAGAAGACCTTCCCTCTGATCCCATGACAGCTTACCTTCCTTATGAGCCAAAGGCTTTCTGAAAATCTAAGTGCACTATATCCACTGGATCCCCCTTGCCCACATGCTTGTTGACCCCTTGCTGAGGCATGATTTCCCTTTACAAAAACTATGTTGACTTTTCCTCTCCGCCTCAGAATTATGTCTATGGGTCTGACAATTTTGTTCTTTAGTATAGTTTTAACCAGTTTGCTCGGTACTGAAGTCAGGCTTACAGGCTTGTAATTGCCGGGATCAGCTCTGGAGCCCTTTTTAAAAATTGGCGTCACATTAGCTATCCTCCAGTCATCTGGTACAGAATCTGATTTAAATGATAAGTTACAGACTACAATTAGCAGTTCTACAATTTCACATTTGAGTTTCTGAATACCATCTGGTCCTGGTGATTTATTACTGTTTAGTTCATCAATTTGTTCCAGAACCACCTCTGACACCTCAATCTGGGACAATTCTTCAGATTTGTCACCTAAAAAGAATAGCCCAGGTTTGGGAATCTCCCTCACATCCTCAGCCATGAAGACCGATGCAAAGAATTCATTTTGTTTGTCCACAATGGCCTTATCGTCCTTGAGTGCTCCTTTAGCATCTCGATCGTCCAGTGGCCCCACTGGTTTAGCAGGCTTCCTGCTTCTGATGTACTTAATTTTTTATTTTATTTTTGCTATTACTTTATTTTACATTACATAAAACATTACATTATGTTTTGCTAAATATATTTCAACACACTATTTAACTTACTTGTGTCTACCACCCATCTGGCTTCCTTCCTCCTAGAAATTTCACAGATGCTAGTGTTAAGATCTAGGATACATTTTTTTTTAAATGAATAAACCAAAATATCTTGGTTACCAACTACTGGGCTTGAGAGATTTTTTTGGGGGGTGCTGGACAAGCCCTGAGAAAAAACTTTGGGGCTTCTAAGGGATCAAACCAACAGAATTATGGGACAAAACCGCTTGGTAAACAGGAAGGGAGGTAATGGAGCCAAAAGAAACTACCACCACCCGATGGCAGTAGAAGGAATACAGCCTGGGAAACAGGTCTCTGTGGTCTTGCCACCCAGCAAATCCATGACATTTCCTTCAGAAATCCCTGTGGGAGAAAAATATTGCTCATTTCTGAATTTACTTTTGATCAGCAGCTTCCCCCACCCCCCATCAGCCCCTGAGAAGACAAAAGCATGAGCAGGGAGTCAGTGGCAACATGGATAGACAGGCCTTCCATGTGGATGTCATAAGACCCCGGATTTATCTGAGGATCCTCCTCACCCTCACAGATGGAGAAATATGCCCACTCCTTATGTCTGGTCAACAAATCACTCCAGCCCCTCCTGCACCTGCATGAAGGGGGCAGAGAGTTCTATTTTCCACAGTTTAAAAGTTAAGGAAATATTTACTTCCCCTATGCATGTAGTTGTGTTGGAGGGGATGGCTTGCTCTATGAATACAAGAGAGGAACACAAATATACATATTAGCTGTTTTTTCTACACATATGCCACTAGTCTCTCACTGAAATAACCAGACATTAAAGATATCCCTACATGAAGATGGGAACTGTAGTTTGGTGCAATCTTTACTTCGGAAATTGTGGAAATTATACATGCCAATGCTTCCTAGGTCTGCTTGATAGAATTACTGGTATTTTCAGCACTTCCTTCATGCTTCATCCTTTGCAAGTACCCCATTTTTTTGTTCATCTCTTTTGATTTTTATATTAGATCACATTTAAAACTAAATCTTCTTAAAACAAACACAAAAAATGTGTCTGGCCTTTAGCTTTGAGAATGTATGTATCTAAAATACACACTGAACTAGTTGGTCAAAGTGATTTGCCTTCTTTTGAATATCTATCTCTCAGTGTTTGTCACAACTTAGTCTGCACAGTGTTTGACGAATTATATAGAACAGTGTTACCTAAGAAATTAACCCCTGTCCATCCCCCCCCCCCAATCATTTTATAATTGTGTTTCCATATACATCTGGACATGGGCTTTATGTGTGGATTTGTTGACTTCTGGCAGCAAGGAATTAAACAGGGGCTGTTCCAGTCAAAACTACACACCTGCAAAGATTGATTGGTGAGTTCCAGAATTTTTTTAGTGATCTATTTTGGGTTCAAATACACATATAATGTGATTTCTTTAATGCATATGCAGAAAGTTAAAGTTATGTGTATCAATGAGGGATAAAACAGTCCATAGTAGCTAAACTCTCTGAATCCTACAGCCTTTCTGGACACATTTGACCTATGTTGATGGAGCCATAAAATTCCTTCAGAGGATTTCTTGCCCTACAGAATTAATTCCACTCAGTAACTCTGAGTTCCTGGCAAAGAAACACACCCTTCCTGCAGGATTGGTGGGATTTTAAGGCTCCAGAATTGTGGAACAAGTCATCTCAAATACCATGTCTTTGGAGTCCCAAAGATGGGTTCAGTATTGTGATTAATTGCCTATATCTGGACAAGTGAATACCACCATGTTAGATGCAGAAGTCATGACTTCCAGCTGATCAGGACCATTTGGATTCTAGACATTTATTTCCTTACTGAGATAGAAAATATATGATTATTATATAGTCTAGGGTAGTATAGTGACCAACAGGACTGTGTGCCTAGTTTCACTGGTACTGTATCAAGAATGCATTTTGTTTTGTTGAAATGGTAAGTACTTAATGAAGGAGATGAATTTCACCAAGACAAAAATAGTTTCTTAGGAAAAAATCATAAATAATGGGGTTTTACAACTAAGAGGAAATATTTCCAGTTTCAGACCCAGTGCAAATAAATGCTCACTAATGTGGATACTAGTTAATAAAACTATGCATCTGTACATAACAGAGAGCAAAATAGAAAATTCTGGCTAAGAATGTGATTAGATTTGTTTTTTCTACCACAAATTAATGGTTCCAAATGAAGGACAGTTTCCCTCTGCCTCTTTAAAATGCATACATCATATTATTTGCTTCTAGGTTAGAAAGACAATTGGATTGTCAATGCTGAGTGACTAGTTACCCATATAAAAATATGGGGAAGCGATTAACTATTTTACACCACTCCAAATACTGATCATCTGGCTTTTATATTTAATTATGTTCAAAATAGCAGCTGATGCAAAGCCCATTTAAATTAATGGATATCAATCCCTTGACTTTGCTGGGCTTTGGATCAGGCCCATATGCACCATTTGATGGGTGTCACATTTATTGTGTCATTGTGATTCAACAGGTCTCCTATTATTTGGGTGAACAGAAGCTTGCCTTTATGGGGATTACAGGTAATGTATAATTAGGATATTTTTAGCAATTACATTTTTATAGCCGTAGCACACTTGGATTTTTAATACTTCTGAGAAGCTAATACACATATAGAAAGGGTAGCAAACAAAATTCTACTTCCTTGGAAGCCCACTATAGTGATAAATCTAAAAATAAAGTGAATTAAGAAAGCAAACTATGTTAAATGTTACACTACTCTGGAATACGTGTATTTATAGTAAAGTATTGTAGGTCAAGAGAAAATAAGAAAGTTTTAATATTCTGTAAGTATTTTTCCTTAGAACTAAATAAAGTCTATTGGACCCAATCTTGCAGCCTTTACTAAGAGCTTGTCTAGCCCTTTCATCGACATAGCGCTATCTACACCAGGAGTTAGGTCGGTAGAATTCTGTTGCTTAGGCTGGGTCTACACTACCCGCCTGAATCTGCGGGTAGAAATCGACCTCTCGGGGATCGATTTATCGCGTCCCATCGGGACGCGACAATCGATCCCCGAATCGACGCTCTTACTCCACCAGCGGAGGTGGGAGTAAGCGCCGTCGACGGGAAGCCGCAGAGGTCAATTTTGCCGCCATCCTCACAGCGGGGTAAGTTGGCTGCGATACGTCGAATTCAGCTACGCTATTCACGTAGCTGAATTTGCATATCTTAAATCGACTCCCCCCTGTAGTGTAGATGTAGCCTTAGGGTTGTGGATTTTTCACACCCGAGTGACGCAGTTATACTGATATAAGTTGGTAGTGTAGACCAGGGTTGAGTTTATTAAGGCCATGTCTACACTACCACTTATGTCAGCAAAACTTATCTCACTCAGGAATGTGAATATTCCACCCCCAGGTGATAGAAATCACACCAGCATAAGTGGGAGCGTGCACAGTGCTAGGTACTGCCGCTCATTGGGGGTGGCTTAATTAGGCTGATGGGAGAGCTGACGGCACTGAGCAGCTATGAGAGATCTTACAGCGGCGTAGCTGCATCGGGATAGCTGTGCCACCGTAAACTCTCTACTGTAGACATAGCCTGAGTTTCAACTTCTTTACCTGAAGATTAAGCTATTGTAATGGGTTCTATTATACTTTAAATCCGCAAGGAAGCCAAAGCTAGTGCAGAATATGGCAGTCCACACAGTAAGTGGAGAATCTTGCTATGAGTACATTACACCAGTGTTTTGTGATCTGCACTGGCTGCCTGTGGGTTTCCAAATGCAGTTTAAGCTGTTGGTTTTCACTCACAAAGCCCTAAGTGGTATGGGACCTGCCTATCTGAGAGATTGCCTTTCCTCACTGCTGCAGGAGAGATCAATGGCGGCACTCAAATTTGATCACCCTTCCCCTCAGTAAAGAATAATGGATTGCTACTGGAGCATTCTCTGTGAGGGGTCCTCTCTTGGCTTTGGCAGATGATCGCCGTCCTGGTCCAAAATAGTCTGGATTTGTTAGCGTTCTGGGCACACTTCAAGAGGAGGGAGATATTGTTTAAGAAATGTCATTTCAGGTTTCCCTTTTTTTTCTCTTTTAAATCTAATTGGCACTATTATATAGTTTATTTAGTTGTATTATGTGGGATTGCTGCTGGCTCTTGTCTGTTATATGGCTTGTCTTTTAAGTAGGTGCCTTTATGGTTCCTAATCTAAAATAAAGAAGTTATGAGATTTCAGGTGCTCAGCACATATGAATCGGGCCCACAGTTATTAAACTTTACATGGTTTCTGAAAATAAGCTATTGCTTTGTATTAAGTTAAGAGCAAATTTTGAAGATCGTTGTGGGAGTTCTCCCTAAATAATTAATTCTTGTATTAAGGATTCCTGAACCATCTAGTATAATTATGCTATTATATTTTTGCACTACCCTCAGTACAAATCCGTTATGGTGAATTCTATCTCTGTGTAATACAGTTGTTTATTAAAGCAACATTTCTCTGATGGAGATAACTTTTGAATATTTGTTTAAAATATGCAAGGTCTGAGCAAATAAAGTTTGACCGACATATAGATTACTTTCGCTATTTAATCTTAAAATATTGAGACATAGCCTTAGTAGTTTATGGTGCTGGTTTTAGGCTTATTCTTACACTGTAAACCTATGCTAGTCAACGAACACAGGAAGATAGATACACAAACACAAAATAGGAGGATATATATATATATATATATATATAGATATATAGATATATAGATATATAGATAGATAGATATAATGTTATATAGTAACAACAAACTAAATTCCACTTTTATGCAAGAGAAAAACTTCACTTCATCTGGAGCAATGCTAACTACTGTAAGAGTGAAATGTTTTGGTGATTTTTTTTTAATATATATTTTCTAATTCACACCATCTATTTTTAATCTTCATAATGTCATTTCAAGTGCAAGTAGTACAGGATGTTAAGCTTTAATTAGTAGTGAGCATTAATTTTAAATTAGGAATAGAGACTAATTTGATTCCAGACTCCATATTAAGTAATACAAATGTATAAATAGTAAATGTTTTAATTTAATATATGCACACATTTTTAAGCTGGTTTTGTGATTAGTTTTAAAAGACATTGTGGAGTATATATGCAATGTGTAAACCAAATAGATTTTAGTAGTTTAAGACAGGTCACTGACCTTTTATATGTCCATTAATTCAACACACACTGATTTAAACAATGACATTTACCATCTCTCTTTTGCTGTGTTTTAAGACTTTTTTGGGGGGTAATATTTATGACCCACGCACACTAAGAAAAAATAACACTTCAGTGTAATGTTTGAAAAAGGTCATGACTTCCTCTCACCATTTGTCTTATTTTTTAAACACATTCCTTATACTCTGTCATCTCAAAATGGAACAAGTCCTGGAAGCTGCCAAAAGCCTGCCAGTTGCAGCATAACACAGAAACTGGCTGCTTTTATTTGGCCTTCCCTAAAAACCCATGGAGAGACCATTCTGGAGACCTTCTGAAGCAATATTCATGGAGGAGATTTTGAGGGCAGCGCCTAGCAGACAATAGGACTTAAGACAAGTGCAGGGGGTAAATACTAATGAATCGTTTGACAGGAACAGGGCTTTATTCAGCACATACTGTGGTAAGGAATTTTAAGATTAGAACCAAGATTTAGGGGTTAAAGATGGTTTGAGAGGATTTCTTCACCGCAGATCAACTAGTTTTGATTATTTTTAATCTTTCAGTTTAATTCTTCAGGTAATTTTTGCTTTAATTAATTACATTACTAACTCTGCATTAACATATATATTTATATATCATGTTAGGTTTCAGTGGCTTTGATAAGTCTGTTTGAAACAATGCTGCTGGGTTATCTGAGCTACAAGGTAAGGCCAATTGGTTTTATTCTTTGGAATCAATTCTCCATTTGATAGATTTCTCTTAATGCTAAGGGGAGTTTACATATCCTCATTGACCAGAGATGAGATCCCTTTGTAAGTCAGTTTACTACTTACAGGTTGACGGAAAGATAAAAATGATCATCTTAAATTACTTGTGACTAATTGGTCAAGAAAAATGTTACTTATATTACACTGAAGTGCATGACTCATTCATGATTTATGAAGTTTACAATGGGCCGTAATCAAAGCCCATGCAGTCAATGGCAGTCTTTTCATTGACTTCAGTGGGATTTTAATCAGCCCAATGTTTACTTAAGAAAAGCTGAAGAGGACTGAGTTATAAGTATCATGGTACCAAAAAGGTGAAGGAAGAAATAGGCATCCAGATGCTCAGCTAATGTAAGTCGGCCCCCCTCTGTCAGATTTAGTGACGCTAGTTCAATTTACACCAGCTGAGGACCCGACAAGTAGCATTGTATAGACTTGTAATGAATGGAATATAGATTTGCCAATATAGGCCAACAATCTGGGGACAAATTCACGTCATCTTTTTTCTGAAGATGCGCTATCTACATCTCCCAACAGGTGCCAAGGTCATTCAGGAAATGGTGTTGATTCAGCAATTCCCTCTGATGCTGGAGTAGCACTACGAAGCACTGTGTTGTTGAAAATGAAAGCCATGGTCTTGACTGCTTTTACTTCATTGCAAATCAAACAGCACTATTCTGAAGAATGGGAGTGTTAGGGGTTACATTCTAATTTGGACAATTGCACTCTGCTAATTTAAATGTTCACATCCTTTCATTTGGATAGTGCATTCTTCTTTACTTCCTGCCCGAAGCCATTGGACAGGCTTGCAGTTAACAGTAAAAACAAACAAAAAACCCTTCCATTCCAGCTGTGACTGCATTTCATTAGTGGGTGTAGTGATAAATGTTATTACAAGGAGGAGAGAGAAAAGTTATTCTCCATAGCCTCTGAGGATAGGACAAGAAGCAATGGACTTAAATTGCAACAAGGGCAGTTTAGGTTGGACTTTAGGAAAAACTCCCTAATTGTCAGGGTGCTTAAGCACTGGAATAAGTTGCCCAGGGAGGCTGTGGAATCTCCATCATTGGAGATTTTTAAAAGCAGGTTAGATAAACACGGTCAGGGATGGTCTAGATAATATTTAGTCCTACCATGAGTGCAGGAGACTAGATTAGAGGACCTCTCTAGGTCCTTTCCAGTCCTACGATTCTATGATTTACGTACGTCCAAAGTGCTTAGGGACCTTTTGGGATGAAAGGCTGTAAATAGGCACCTTGGCCCAGATCCACAAAGGCATTTAGGCTCCTGACTTCCATTTATGTCAAAGAAGTTAGGAGCTTAAATACCTTCGTGGACCTCGGCCTTTGGTACTATTGAAAATCCCACTACGCATCTTTGTTTAATTATCTAAATACCTTTTGAAAATCTGCTCCTTCGGCCAAGCAATGCTGAATGGAGCAATGCCTAAATACCTTTGAAAATCTGTGACTAAAATTATTGCAAGAGGCAATTGAAGAAAGTAAATGTAAAGGTAAGAGAGGCCTACATTTGTCTCTGGGCTTAAATGGTATAATGCAAAAGCAGAAAGTCTGATCAATCTGTAGAGGATGGCATATTGTCTCAAACAGCCTTTTCTTGTTTCTCAAATGTATTAGGTATCATAATAATCAGAGCAGGGGACTGGAAGTCAGAAATCTTGTGTTTCACTTCTAATTCTTCCACTGCCTCTCTGTGTTGGTTAGGGACAATTTTTCAAAGGTGGCTTTTTTTTTTTTTTGGTATAGTTGTGTCTCTGTGGTCTTATTTTTCAATATGTGGAGTACCCACAGCTCTCTCTGACATCAGCTCTCAAGTTGTTGCTGCACAATATTTCTGGAAAACTTAAAAAAAATCAAGGTTCGGTCATCTGAAATTGGGCACTCAGGAATCAAGGCACACAAATAGAGGGCAATTTTGAAAATATGGGGCCATATCCATCTGCACCTCAGCTATTCCAACTCTAAACTAGGGAACTTTGAAAAAGGCTTTGAGATCTGCTGATGAATGCAATTACAAAATATTATACATTTGTCTTTGTTTTTTCCTTAAAATGTCAAGTTCTCTTTAGTTATATTTTTCTAATGTTTTGGTTAGAATTTCTTCACATAATTTGCCCTTTAATTTTTATTATATGCTATTACAGTGAATTATAAAAAGTCTGCATTTTGAGCTATTAGGATAAAACAGTAAAATACATTTCACCAAACAAAATAAGAAAAGCCTTTATTTTAAAAGTTTAAATATCTCATTTTGTGAAATGAGATCATTTTGTGCTTTTAGTCTATGAGTCAATGGTATTTAATAACTAGTCAATCCATCAGAGTCACAGAGTAATTCTTTATTATACTTATCAAGTGATGATTGGCAGAAATGTTTTTCAGAGTATAACATTTTTAATAAGCTTCAAACTGGCTACTAAATTATACCTGATAAAAAGCAGCTAATAATGTTTATACAGATTAGGTGTTGTCCATTACAAATATAAGTCTCTTGGTGGAAAAAATAGCACAGTGAAAAACAACTGATGCCAACATACTGCTTATAAAGCAGTGCCACTTTTCATTCTAAAGTTATTGGGCCATTTTCTAGGGCAGGGGTCGGCAACGTTCAGCACGCGGCTCGCTAGGGTAAGCACCCTAGCGGGCCGGGCCAGTTTATTTACCTGCTGACGCAGCAGGTTTGGCCGATCGCAGCCCCCACTGGCCGCGGTTCGCCGTCCCGGGCCAATGGGGGCGGTGGGAAGCCGCGGCCAGCACATCCCTCGGCCCGTGCCACTTCCCGC